GAAGGCGGACCCCTCTTCTGGGTGGCCCGGGAGCAAAGGGAAGCCACGCAGGGTGCCCGAGCAAGGCAGGCCGGGCGGAGGGGGCGGCGGCGGCGGGTCTCCCGCGAGGAGGCACTTGGGGTGGTGGTGATGCGCGTGGTGGTGGTGGTGGTGGTTGTGGTGGTGGTGGTGGCCCGCGCCTCCTGCTGCCGGGTTCTCGCCACTCCCGGGGCGCCCGCCAGCCCGACCCCCGCCCAACAGCCGGCCCAAGGCCAGACCCGCCCCGGCTTTGCCGCCACCCTCCTCCCGGTAGGGGTCGCCGTGCGCGGCCGCCCGGGCCAAACCAGTGGGTTTGAAAGCTGAGCGCACGCCGGGGTAGAAAGCCAGGCCGCCGCTCCCGGCTGGAGAGCCACCCACGATGCCCAAGAAGTGGCCGTGATGCGCCCGGGCTGCCCCGCTCATGTCTACGGCACGATCTGCCTGCGGTTCCTTGCCCTTCTTGAGCGGCCCCCACTTGCCCAAGGGCGGCGAGACGGCCGAGGGCCCGGAGGAGGCCTCGCGCTTGATGCCTTCCCGAGCCCCACAAGTCTGGGGGTGTTGTGGGGCCAGTGGTTGAGGCCGCAGAGTGCTCGCCTGGACGGGCGCGGCGAAGTCGGGCGCAGAGGGTTTCGGGGAGAGGCCGAGGCCTTCGGCCGGGGCCGCGGCTTGGCGAGCGGCGTGCTCGTGGTGCAGGAAGGCTCGGCCGCCGCCGCCGCTGAGCACGCAGTGGAATCGCAGGTGTGCTTTGAGACTATTGGGGTACCTAAAGGTCCTCCAGCAGTACCAGCAAATGTAACGTTCCTCCCCTGGGCGAGAAAGAGTGGAAAAAGAACCCCGTGAGAGGCGACTAAGCCAGGCCGAAAGAAATCGCTAAGCACAGGTTTTGACCAGCCAGATGGCAGAAGCAACAGTATTCGTGGGGCTCGATGAATAAGTGTGTCCAGTAGCCCCATTGTATCAAAAACACGCCCCCCCAAAAAAAACCCTGAATTGGTCAGCTCACGTCTCCATCCCCATCTTCTGGGACTACTCAGAGATCAAGACAGGTGACTTGAGCACTTCCAAAGACTTTCTCCCTGCCATCGGAGCAAATCTCTCTTGGAAGACAGAGCTTAGACAAGCTGGCGGAGAAGAGCCGAGAGCAGCTGTTGCTTTAAATCAAGTGTTGAGGCTGTGCGGTGCCTGGGCCCATCTGTTGGCGTTTGCAGAATAGGTGGCGTATGTCAAGGAGTTTGGATAAACTGAACAAAGACCAATCTAATGGTCGTGAGCGCCTCATTACCAGGCGAGACAATATCCTGTATGTATGGGCCATATGTAATCATTCCTTTTCATAGAACAATGTCTTTTGTATCCACTATCCACCCTTTCTACCCCCTCCCAGCCTTAAACACTTTGCCTGAGGTTTTCCTGGAGCGTGACCAAACTGAAGGACCACATAGGGACCATGATTTGCTATTCTTCAAAATTAGTTGTATCTTTATCTCCTATTTAACTCTCATTTAATTTGATAAGGGGGGGAAAACTCTACCTCCGGATATTCTAGACAGGATAGTGAATTTTAACAAGAATAATGCTATTTCATCTTCTCAGTGTTTCTAGCTTGGTAATTATTAACTCCAGTAGCTGCACAAACTCAAGTTCAGTAAAATACTGGGAGAAGATATGGTAGTGTATGTTTTATTACACAAGTAGATAGAAATGAGATAGAAATGGATACTCGGCTTTGAATACATGCAGAATTCCCTACAGTACCAAATATATGTCAGATGTTTTTGGTATTTTGTATTAGTAGCATTGCTTTTAATTTTGACAGCATCTGTGAGCACATTCAAGAGAAGTATATATGAGAATCTAATCAGCAGGCATTAATTTCCAATTGAAAAGGTCTTGTTACTTCTGTATGTAGAAAAGAAATCTTGCAATTGGTTTAACATTTAAATGTGGTTGACCGGTAATACAAAAGGGCAGGATATCTGTAAGAAAGAAGACCCACAAAGAAGAATCTAAAATGTATGTGGTCACTGAAGAGTTGATGGGCAAGTTAAAGTATTTGTTTTTATATTCAAACAGCTCAAACTTCCACAACATTACTATAGCATTAACAAAGGAAATTTTCCAAAGCGTCTGCCCTTCTTATATATTAATTTTGGCTTTTCATAAAACAAGTAGTCTTCCTAAATAACAAAGATAGAAGTTCAGTTAAGAAGTACTTTGTTTTAACAAGAGCCTGAGGACAACAAGAAAAATTGAAAGGCTAAGCATGGTGGAGGGAGGGTAAGAAGGATTTGCCTGTGATAGCCTATATTTGCCTGAGATAGCCTATTCTAATTGTTTATAAAAAGACTCAAACAAAACTAGGTCAGTATTCCTGTTACATTGCACTGCACATCTATGTGAAATCTTGGTGAAAATAAAAAGCAAGATCAGAAAATGATCCCCTGAGTTTTCTTGATGAGTGTGTTAATTTAATATTTAAGCACCATTTTCTTTAGTTCAGAACCTCCCTCTCCTCATCTGTTTAAAGAGAGTTTTAGTCTGCCCCACAATGCCTCAACCAATGCAATCCAGTAAGCTTGGTTCTTAGGATGGAGCATTGGTCACTTCAACTTTCCTTTAAAGCTGAAACCCACTGAGGTCAGTCAGTGATGGAAGCATAAATGCTACCCCTATTTATTTTTTCCTATATTCAAGATTTAAGCAAAATGAGTATTTTCTGATTCAATACATCTGTTCTCCTGTTTGTGGTAAACATGATTTGCAGCCTCTGAAGTCCAACTCAGGGCCAGTGTATCAGACATACTTCTTAAGTGACTCTGTTTTCTCCCCTCTTTTAACTCTAAAGTGGTAAAGATTTCAAGCATCTCCAAACTAGCTATATCAGGTTCAAAAGAACCCAATAATAAGGCATTTTGAATGTGTTACAATATGTTGTTTATGAATTCAATTAGCTGAAGTAAAAATACAGAAGCCACTACTCAAACAAGTTGCTTTGGCATTATTTGGGAGTGCCTAAGTAAGGATATTGTATCTAGAAAAGGCAGGGCCCTAAATCCCTCCTGTTTTTTTCTGTAGTGGCAGATTTGAGCATTCTCCCCACTATGGGGCTGTTTTGCTTTTCTTTTACTAGAAGAGCCTGACAAGAGAATTTTATAATGTGACACAAGGAATGAACGACATTAGGCTAATTCTTATGTGGTGTATACAAATCTATTCCCAAAATAAATAGAGTTTTTTATAGAGAATAGTGAGACTCTGGATGAAATAACTCATTGTTCTGAATAAACTTCATTCTTTTTTATTCAAGAAGTGTTTCCTAATTGTCACAGTTTTATTACTTTCTAAAGTGATGGGGCTGAAAAGTGATTCAGGAAGTTTATGTCAAAATATTTCATAGGATTTTCATGTTGCTTAAATAATAAATTGATCTTTAAGAGAGATCCCAAATTAAAAATGATCAGAGCTTGTGAATGAGAAAGGACTCTTAAGACCTTATTATTTTAGCAAGTCTCAGCCTTTTTTTCTAGGGGAAGTGTTCCTCAATGTTCAGGGAGGATTTGAAAATGTTTTCCTCTTTAGTGCTGCACTTCAATTTGCATAAATCCACTCTTAGCTTTCAACCAAATAAATCTAAGAAGAAACTGGGATACATCCCAGATCCAATTTAAGTAGTCTTAGGAGGGGGAAATGAATAAATACCATTTAAATGGAAGATCCTAAATACCTGCCAACTAACCAGCTGTAAGTACCAAAATGCTTCTAAAATGTTGTGGAAAATACATCGTTCTCCAAAAACAGTGGAGAAGAGATGCCCTCCCACCTTGTAAAACAATTCCACATTTTTGGATGCTTTCTAGAACTTGGGATATAACCACTGTAACACTATATTAAGCCTCCATTTTTTATCCTTAATTGAGTAAAAAATTGTCATTGTGGATATGACACAGGAAAAGATGAGCCCAGGAAGTTCATAGAGTATTGTGAATAAGATGATTATTCTCTTGGTTGTTCCTTTTCAGGTGTGTGTGTGTGTGTGTGTGTGTGTGTGTGTGTGTGTGTGTGTGTGTGTGTGTCCTGGGGCTTGAATTCAGGGCCTGGGTACTAACACTGTACCTTTTGAACTACAGCTCTACCCCTGACACTTTTGGTAGCTACTTGGAGATAAGAGTCTCATAGACATTCTTGCCTAGTAGGGCTTTGACCTGTGATCCTCAAATCTCAGCCTCCTAAGTACAAGGATAACAGGAAGGAGCCACCTATAGTATGGAGGCAGGGAGGCTTTACTGTTGATTTGATTGGATTCTAAGGAGATTTCCTGTTTGCCTATGTAGGGGTCATGAAATCAGTTTTAGGTAGAGAACAGCCCTTCAGGATGCCTTCCAACACCAGGGAAGGCTAAGCTTCCTCCCACCCACCCAGCCCAGAAAGCTCAGGGTAGTACCTTTCTCATCATGAGTTGGAGTTGCAGTGGTGGGGATGTCAAACCACTGAGCCAAGGAGTTAGAATACCACACAGTCAGTTCTTCCCCTGGCTGGACATCTCTCAATGCTCGGTAGAAGATCTGGGATGCAAAGAATAAAAAAAAATCTGTTATTTCCTGAGCAACTGAGAATTAAAGTTCAAACCCTGACTCTGACACTTTTGGATTTTTTCTGAATTGCATCCTTCATCTTTTAAGAGGAAAAACAACATAATCCTATCTACCTCACAGGATCGTTGGGACCTTTAAATGAAACCCCTAGCTAAAGCATTTGGCTCTTAAATGTGTTGGCTGCCTTAGGGAAGGTTAGGTGGATAGAATTGGCAGGGGTGGAGGGAGCCCACAGTACCTGTCCTCCGGGTAAGTCTGCAATAGCTTCCAGAGTCTGTTCCTGGGGATTCCTGGCTGCCCGGATTAACCCTATCCACTCCAGAGGGGAGCCCCCCGACTCGTCCACCAGCTCCCCTCTCACCATGCGTACCTGCAACACAAGCAATGGTCGTTCTTCCCACACCATGGCCAGGACCACAACCCAGAGCATAACCTTCCCCACCCAACTCAGAAAAAAGTTTGCATTCGCTTTACCATGCATAGTGCTATGGGTTGCTGAAACAATTCCTTTGGAGAAAGAGTAGAAGCTGACTAGGGCATACACACACACACACACACACACACACACACACACACCTTGACAACACAAGCCTAGATAGGGCATCTTTCTTGAGGACCTAGATCATTTTGTACCAAAACATCCCCCCCCCACCCTATCTCTCCCCATAAAAGCAGCTCTAACACCAAGGAAAAGACTTTGCAAAGTCTGTCTCCAATTCCTCCTACCTCCCAGTACTTTTGCCTCTAGGTGCAAGCAAAGCAAGCAGGGAAATAAATTGTTGAAACAAAGCACTGAAGAGAAATTTTTCCTGTAGCCATCAGGCCATTTAAAAGTAATTAAATTGCCTATAAAGAGGAAGGCTCTGTACTCCAAAACCCAACTTTAGACGGGAGATGGTAAAACTAAAGGGTAGATTGCATCAGAGGTGAGATACTGGTCCCGCTGGCTGGACCTGGGAAATACTCTCACAAGAAGTCAGTAGTCAGTTAGGAAAACAAAAGTCCTTCCTTTTCCGCTAAACTTTTGCCTTCTTTTTCAGATGGTTGTTTGCCAATCTTTGGCAACTGAAACGAACCCAGGGCAGGTGAGAACCTATAAATCTCAGCCCTGATCAATGATCCTGATGCTAGTGGGTTGGTCCTTGGCAACTCCAGGATGCTACCCTCGACCCAGAGAGCCGAGCTTAGAGGCGCCCCACTCCGGTGCCCCACGAGAGTGCGCACCCCTAGTTCTCACAGCCTGCGTCTTCAACACTTAGTTCACCTTGTCTCTACTCCAAACGGGCAGAGAGAAAATTCTGAGGATATTCCAGGACCTTAGAGATTGCCCAAGAATAATTTTTTCGGGAGGAAATTATATGAAATTCATGCAAAAAATTTAAACCTCAAATTATTTGATAGAAGCAAAGGCAGTAAGAAAAGCCCTCAACGCCTAATGTCCACAGAGGAAACAGGCGAAGACCCAAGTGTGTAATCTCAGATCCCGGGAGAGAAACCGGGCTAGTTCCCAGAGATCCCGGAACTCTTCACCCAGGGACTGTCCCCCCCTCCGCCGCCACGTCCTGTTCCTTCAGTCCAGTCCTCGTCTTGCTCTCAGTAAGTCATACAAAATATAATCGGAATCCCCTTCTGCGTAGCAGGATTACCAGGTAAAAATCGAATTATCCCCTTTCTCCACTCCTCTACCCCTCTCTTAGATCATGGCAAAGGGAGGCGATCGTCAAGGAACAGGGATCAGAATAGCTAATACCTTTTTCTTAGGCCCGGGCTCCCTGCGATCTGACAGGTACTTGCCCAGCTTGAAGGTGCCAGGCACCGGCCCAAGGCGCAAGCCGGCCGGGATGCAGCAGTCGGCACTCACGCTGGTGGCCGGAGTGCGGGTGTTTCCGTGCATCGTCGCTGCCGCCGCCAGGCAAGCTCTTAGATGCGCCCAGTCCTCCACAGGGCGCGAGTGACAGAGCCCGAGCCGTGCACGCGAGCTAGGGAGCCGCGCCCCGACGTGCGTCCTCCGCCAGCGGAGTGACGCGGGAGGGCATGCACTGCGCCTTTTCAATCAGGGCGGGCGCCTTTTGGCACCGGGGAGCGCAAGGGCGCGGAGTTTGGTGAGAGAGTTGCGCGGTGAAGCAGCTGCAGAGTCCCACCCGAGAGGGTCACATGGAGTGGTTCCCTCAGCCCCCTGCATAATCTAGGCCTCTGAATGGCTAGAACACAATGGTCCAGGCGACCTTCCCATTCCTAAAAATCCAATTTGTCAAGGGCGAAGAAAAGGCGCTAGTGAATCAAAGGTCCGGCGGGACCATTAATCCTCAGCATGGGGTATTGTCCCTGAGACAGTTACGATATTTTAAGTGACAAATCCACTGTATAATTTCTCCATAAATTTTACTTCCTTTTATTGTTCTCCGACAAACCAGTTTTGGGAAATAAGTGACTACTTTAAGTCTACTTGGCTGATTCCTTTGAGCCTTGGTCCACTTCAAAGATTTTTAATTCTCTCCCCTTGGCTTTATTGTAAAGGAGATTAAACAAAGAGATGGGGACTGTTTGGAGGACTTGTTAACTTCTATTGATTTCTGGCGTGTGCCATACAGAAATTAGGCAGGTACTTGATGGGAAAACACCAGAAAATACCTACACTTTTTAAATCACGACCATATTACCATTTCAGGGGATTGGGTTCAGGCCAGTCGTCTATTCAGAACCGCTTTAATTATTCCTTCTGCCCATTTTGTCCCGAAACATGAAACCTCCGGAACAATTTGAGAAGGCGAAATTGGTTATCAGTGCGGCTCCTGGCGAATCCAGGACACGCACTTTCTCTGCAGAATGAGAAGATGCGGTTAACCAAGGGCTTTATAAGAGACCTGGCTGTAAGTTCTGAGCACTGGGTTGAATAGAGTTCCATGTCTGCGCGGCATTGATTATAACGACCGTCCAACAGGACCACCGATCGACTCAAATAGTTTTGCTTTTAACTTTAAAATGGGGGAAAAGTCTTCAGTCCAGCTTCCCTGAAATCATTTGTTTTACTTTATTTGCTTATTTATTTTAATTTTTTCCAGTCCTGGGGCTTGAACTCTGGATCTGGCTGACATCCCCTAACTTTTGTGCTCAAGGCTAGTGCTCTACCACTTGTACCACAACTCCACTTCTGGCTTTTTGGTGGTTACTTGGAGATAAGAGTCTCACCAGACTTTCCTGCCCACGCTGGCTTTGAGCCAACAGTGATCCTCAGTTCTCAACTTCCTGAGTAGCTCGGGTTATAGGCAGAGTCAAAAGTGCCAGACTTACTTAATGTTAAAAGCAAACAACCAGTTTGAAACCTCAGATTCAAAGGATGCAGAAAAGAGGACTGAAGTGTGTGTGTGTGTGTGTGTGTGTGTGTGTGTGTGTGTGTGTATGTGTGAATATAGTCAAGCTGTGCTAATTCTCAGTTCCTTAACAGGACAAGTTATTTCAAGCTAAACCCAAATTCCCTCTACCCCTTTTAAAGGAAAACTTCTGTTTGTGTGAGAGCATTTATTTTTAATGAACTAGTAACTAGATAATTGGGCTCAATAGGGAAATCCTGTTGGTACTTGCTGCCCACTTGGAGTCCTGGGTACTTTCCTCCAAATCCTGCACTGTTAACACGGTCCCCCCATCCCCAAATTCGGAGGGGTCTGAGTGATGCTAGTGTCCTCCTGGTGTCAAAAGCCCAGTTACATGAAAGGCAAAGACCCAGAGCAGCACCCAGCCCCCCAGCTTTGCCCAAGTTATGGATGCAGGTCTTTTACTCACTCCAGCTGGTGTGATTGGTTAACAAGAGTGGCCAGATGCAAAGTGGCAACTCAGTGGCACTCCACAGTTTAATGAAGTCTCTCCAGAAAAGCTCATTGAGTCTCTTCAGTGGAAACATGGTCACCACACTGGACAGGTTCGGGAGACTTGCAGTTGTTGTGCCTGTGTTCCTTCATACAAGGAAACCTTCAGTAAATTACTTCAGAGCCTCGGAGTCTATCTAATCTGCACAACAGACTGTTGGATACAGTCTCTAAACATCTCAGGCATTACTGTCAGATGTGGAGGTGTCTGTGTAGATATGGCTGCTAGTGCTGAAAAGAAGAGTTTGGTGGGTCTGGGCAGCCACACCACTGGCCCCCCCTGACCTTGCTACATGCCATGGGCCACTTTCTGAGTGAGCTGCCAGTAAGCTTTCTCTTGTCCTTCCAATTGCCACTCTGTGGGCCAGGGAAGGCTGTCCCAGAGAGAGGAAGGGGACCTTTGATCCAGCAGCCTATGAATGGCAAAAGCCGGGGGAGGGGAGGAGGAGGACAGGAAGCCTCTCTGGAGAGTCGAGGGCAATAAATTTAAGCCATGAACATGTCCCTCTAACCTCTGGCCTGGCGACTCCAAGATGACACCCAGTTTAAATTACCAGCGTTGCAAGCGGGAAGGGCGAGCTCGGAGCCTGGGTTCGGGACGCCTCTCCAGCCCTCCTTAATGAGTGAAAAAGCGTGAACGACACGCGAACAATTTTATCAATAGGACCATGTAAAGGCCGACTGTGAGGAAAGTTATTTATTAATATAGCCAATTGTGGCTGGATCCCAGCCCGTCGAGAAGAAAGAGACTGCGCCAGAGGCATTCACACCAGCTCGCCGAGTTTTATTCTGTCCTGTGGCTCGGAGTTGAAGTTCCCCAAGTGAAATAAATTGTCCACAAAGGAGGAAAGGAACACATTTTCTTTTATTTTTCCTCCCCTAAAAAGCAAGGGTGAAACCAATCTAATGTGCCCAGTGGAGCAAGATGGACCCGTGAAAGGCTGGGTGTTAAAAGTAAAAGCGGGCTGCGCAGCAAATGGGATGGAAAATTAAATGAAATTAAATAGCTTGAACGGCCGTATTGTCCCTTATTAAAAAGACACATTAATTACATGGTCTCAGCCTTATTCAAAGACAATGTTGAGACTCAATCAAAACATTCCACTCCGCTTTTTTTTTTTTTTTATCGACTTAAAATGGGCGTCCAGAGGCCCTGTTAAAGCAAGGTCCCTTCTTCTTCTCCGGGGTGAGGTTTGGGGAGTCTGGTTTGGGGGCGGTGCTGCTCCCTGCCCACCGGGGAACCGCCGGGGCGAGCGCCCCTTCCGGCCCCCTTCCCTCTCCCCCCCCCCCCGGCTTCGTAACAGGTTGTCCCTAAGGACGCTCAGGAGTCCCGGGGCATTGGTGAGCAGGAAAGGCCGGGAAACGAAGTCTCAGCTCCCAGCGCAGCCTGGGGTCCGGCTGAGGCCGGGGCGGATCCCTGTCACCCGAGCGCGCGCGCGCGTCACCCGATCCCCGCGCCCGGCCCAGAAAGCTGCGGGCGCCAAGCACGTGTGACTCGCCTAGACTCCACCTAGAGGAAAGGAGCCCCTAAAAGAGTTGGGCACTGAGATGAGAGGTTCTGAAAGCTAACGCTGTTTATCGCTGTGGCGCAAAGGCCTTGGACTTGGGGCGGGTCCCGGGGTGGGGATGGGGGGGAGACTTGGATGCCACCTCCCCCCCACACACACCACGGGCCTTGGGCTTTAGGGACTTGGATGTCGGGGAGTCACCCACACGCTGCTCTCCTGGTCTCCAGATCGCACAGTCCCCCCACCCAGGATGGAGAGAGCAGCGTGGAGCCGAGGTCTCCAGCGGGAACCGAAGCCAGGAGAGACGGAGACAGTGGCTGAGCTGGGGTCCGGGGTGGCGTGGGACGCGCCCCCTCGGGAGTGTCAGCGGGCGGGTCAGCGCGGACCAGCTGCGCTGCCCCCAAGCGCGGGTGGCACATTAAGGCCGGATCTGAATGAGGCGGGGGCCACGGGCTCTGGGAACGCCACCAGATGACACGCCGGAGCCCGGGCCATTTTCCCTTTAATTGCGTGGCCGGTAGATGCTCCAAATTCACAGCCAAGGACCAAGCCAGGACACCGCTGGTGGGTTTTGTGGTTGCCTTTTTGTTTTTGTTTTGTTTTTTGGTTTTGTGGTTGTTATTTTTTTTTAAGTCTTCCATTGGAAACGACTCAATAAAAGTATTCACAGTCTGTCTCAAGTTGCCTTTTAACCGGAGTTTTCCCAACTTATTTCTCGGTTCTTTCGGTTGACATGGTGTAAAGAAAAGTCAGGGAGCGTGTTGCTGAATTGCAATGTCCACATTCAGAGCTTCTCGGCCGGCCTCTGCCCAATGCGCCCTCAATTCGATTTTCCTTGCTGTTGGACACATTTAGGAGCGCTTCTATTTGTGAAGTTCATTTCTAGGCAAATGTATTCAAGAGCCGATGGGAATGAATAGGACCGTGTGTCAGCCGCCCCTAATTGGGATTAAAGCACTTAGGAGCATATGCAGAGAGTGACAGAAATTCTCAGGTTACATTGTGTTCAGACTTCCACCCGCTCCGACACTCCTCCTCCAAGGGAGATTTATAAAGATTGCGGGGAGAAACTGAGGAAGAAGAAAAGCAGAAAGGAATGGCTCAGGATGGGGCTGCGGTTCAGCAAGTGGAGGTGACAGCTTCTGAAGAAAAGATGCTGGGGATAATTGAGCGCGGGAGGGGAGCAGGTCTGAACTCTTTAATCAGAAAGGCGGAGAGTTAAAAGGCGAAATAAAGATGTTCTTGAGATTCCCAGACGGTACCACCCCCTTTTCTTTCTCTTTCTCCTGAAGAGCTTGGCTGTCTTTTTATCTGTGCCCCTACCCCCACTCCCTAAAGAACATACCCGCCCTTGAAGCAATAATAAACACACTTGGATACATTAAATAGAAAGGGGGAGGGAGTCACAAAGGAAACAAAAAATATCTTTTGAAGGTTAAGAATGTCATGTTCAAATTATCAATGAAAATGTTTCCGGATGTGTGCTAAATATATACACACTATGTTTAAACACAAGCATATTGATAAATATCCCTATGCATTTAGATTGTGCATGTTGATATGCAATCCGCTTGTAACTTTCCACCTGGAGTGAGTGGTTGCTGAGATTTGGGGGCTGAGGTAAGAGAGTCTTTATTTTATTTTTTAATTTATATTTATTACCTT